AACCCGTTTAGAGCAAGTGCTTTATGACACTGGAAAAGCAAATGGCGCATAGAATCAAATTATCATGTCAGGTCAGTCACGTGAAAATTGTTATCATTTGAATAAATGAGAAGTTTGTATTCACGTCATTTCAATGCGAACTCGTTTCGTCGATCCGTCGATTCGTTGATTCCTCGACGAGGTTAATGACATTTTATGCAAAAAGATCGCCGAGTTTCTAAATATATTGAGAGTATGCCCGCTTCAACAAGTACATACATATATATTTACAGAAAAAGCAAGCACAGTTGCACACACACACACACGCATATATACGCCCATCTATGTACAGGCATTAGTGGAAGGCAAAGGTTTTTACATAATGATATTTTTATTGCCATTTGCCTTTTGATGAACTTGCTGACAACTGAGCGCACCCGAGCAGCATTTAAATCATTTTTTCTGTTATTATTTAATATTATATATTGTGAGCTCTTTTTTTTTTTGTTGACAAATTTGGTATTTATAGCCGCGGCGCACTTTTAAAATTCATTACGAGCGTCGCTGGCGTCGTCTAGTCGAAATTCGCATGCGGCACAAATTTCGAGAGGGCCAAGGGTTAAAAATAAACTTCTATGTGTTGGAGTAATTTGTGCTGAGATTGCATATTGACCAACGCGAATGACTCACAATGCGTGCAGTGGACCTACACACACACACACAGAGAATCAAAAGCACAGACCCCACAAATAGAGACACCTTCATTCAGTTAGTGCAGTTAGCAAATAGAAATAATATTTAATACGCATTACTGTGGGGAGTTTGGAAGATTATGCACAGCTCTCTTAAGATTGCCAACTTTGTGTTAGGTGAGTTGAAATCGATTCGCGTCGCACTACGCCAAGCATCAACCGGATGCAATTTGAGAGTCACGCGGCGCTTACGTACAGGGATTAAGTATGGGTTAGATGTTTGAGTTGGCTGATTGTTTACACAGTTATTAAAACACGTCATGAGCACTCACTATTGCCAACTAACATTGATACAAATTGTAACTTTAGTTACAGCGCCAGTCACGTGAATAAGGCAACAAAACTCACTTAGGCACACGCGGTATGAACAGCAACAATAACTCCACCTCGAACTCACCAAATAAAAGAACGAAAAAAAAAGTACAAGACGCTGACGCTGACGCTGACGCTGGCTGTTGGCTACCGTTGTTATTGTTGTGTTTTGGTGTTTCTTTCTTTGCTTGGCCTTTGTGCTTCACTATTTTGATATCGGTGTTGTTATTCTTCACCCACACACACACACGCATAGGCGAACACACACACACACAATCACATACAAATGGACGCGAACGTTAACGTACCAGCCATTCAAACAAATCGCGCTCTGTGCCCGTTCTCTCTCGCACTCTGAGCACTTCCGCGCTCAACGACCGACCAATTCAGACTGAAACTACATTGCGAAAATACCAACAGAGCTGGGAACACTTTGCCGGCAGCTGTGGCGAAACCTTAACCCATGCCATACCTACGACAACGTGGCTGGCAACGAGAGAGAAAGAGAGAGAGAGAGAGCGATAGAGAGAGCGCTACTGGTTGTGAGTGCAGAATGGCGATAAGCCGAGCACAGGGTGGGATTTGCCACGGTTGGTGGTAGGCGCTGAAATTCGCTCAAATATCTCGTGTTTTCTCTCCTCATGCTTGATGTGAGTTAGCAACCGGCTATATGAAAGATAAACCAGATATTAACTCAAAGCTCTAATGACCCACTGCCATTACTATTGAATTTTAAAGTAAAATAAGTTAGCCG